CCATGGCATAAAAGTGCCAACTTTATGGCCATGAGAGTCCCATGCACCTTATGAGCCACCTTTTTGGACCTTGTGAACTAAAAACCCCATGTATGCACGTAAAGTTGGAAACTTTACGTGATATAAGGATCCTAGGGGTCTAGATCTATGTTTTGGAGGCAATGAACCCAACTGAAATCGACTGAATAGATTAAGATCATGGGGGACTCGACGAGTTGCTCATCCAACTCGGCGAGTCGGGTCGTGGTTCCCCAACTCTTCTGCTAATGAGTGAACTCGTTGAGTCTAGGAGATGACTCAGTGAGTTGGACATAGTTTTGGACTTGGGGGTGGAGGAACTCGACGATTCCAAGGAGGGACTCGACGAGTTGAGTCAGGTTGTCGTAATTTTATGACAGACAGAACTCGACGAGTTTGTGAAGGGACTCGCCGAGTTGACTCGGTTGACCACGAGTCTTAGTAGTACAGGAACTCGCCGAGTTGGGAGATAACTCAACGAGTTGGGTTGACTGGGAGTCGACATTGACTTTGACTTTGACCCAAGCATTGACTTTGACCAGGGGTAAAATGGTCATTTTACCCTAGGAAGGATTATCGGATTTTGATTAAGTGTTATTATGAAATTGATAGCCGGGGAGTCACCGGAGCAGCAGTCAGAGATTCTTCACTCGAGTTTTCAGCTGTCAACCTTACGAGGTGAGTTTCCTTCAGTAGGAACGGGTCTACGACACCAAGGTCGGCCCGTATATGTGATATGATAGTAGCTGAGTGTGGGCGGGGCCCGAATCTCGTAGTATTATTTGAGTATAGTTATGTGACGGTTTGATAAGAGTAGATATACTTGTTGTCTGTGTGATACTTGTATGCATGTTAGACAGCGGAGTGTGGGCGGGGCCCGAATCTCCTAGACAGCAGAGTGTGGGCGGGGCCCGAATCTCCTAGACATCGGAGTATGGGCGGGGCCCGAATCTCCTAGACAGTGGAGTGTGGGCGGGGCCCGAATCTCCTAGACAGCGGAGTGTGGGTGGGGCCCGAATCTCCATGAGAGTGGGTGGGGCCCGTATCTCCTAGTTGCATGTTATGTGTATGGTATGTGGTAGCTTGGGGAGACTCACTAAGCTTCGTGCTTACAATTTTTAGTTTTGGTTTCAGGTACTTCCGGTAGCAAGGGGAAGGGCTCGGGATGATTGCAGTGCACACACCATTTGTTCAGCCTGGGATGTTTATACTCTGATGTTTGATATACATTGATATGATGTTTTGGGATATTATGACGTGTGTTTTGGATAACTATGGTTTTAATAATAATTAAAAACGAAATTTTTGGTCTGTATTTTTGGGATGTTTCACATGCAATATGTAATCTACAAATTTCTTATATACGCTAAATATTTCATTTAACTCATCAATTAAATAACATGATTTGAAGAGTTTTAAGAGTTACAAATCATAATATTTCAATTAATCATAAATCAATTTATATAAGTTGAATAGTCTTGAGAGTTTCAAATGCATGAGGTTCAAGGAAAAATGTTCTTGGGAGTTTCAAATGCATGAGGTTCAAGGAAAAATGATAGCTTTATAAGATATATAGATCTGTGACTATATTTGTGACATCCCCAATTTCACGGCCAAAAAAGACCGATTTGTTTATGCTTATTTAAAATCAAATTATCCTTTTTGAAGAACAATATTGTGGAATTTTGTTCCCAAAAAACATGATAATGATATTATCAAAGCATTTCCGAAGAAAATTATTTTATTTATATTAAAAACCTTGGGATGTCATCGTCAATACAATATATAAGCATAAAAGGGAATAATACAGGCCGTACAAACATCTATTATTCTACTGGCTAATACTCCATAAATCTTTCATCTAATCAACATATTTGTGCTCTCATGCCACTACCTGTAATACAAGAAACTAAGTGGGTCGGACTTGGGAGTCTGGTGAGCACATAGGGTTTTCAACCCACAATAATTAAATTCTTTTAATTATTTACATATTTTCATCAAATCATTCAACGTAATTACCCATTCTTGTTATCCTCACAATCTGTCCCTAAAGCATCTAATTCAAGGGACCTATCCTAAGGATCATCTTCGGGATAGACAATAAAGCTCATGGGATTCGTTAGCAATATATGTCAATAAGGCAACTATGGGGGGGGGGTGGAGTACACCTGGTGAACACTTAGTTCAAAAACACTTACACGTTGCGAGCCTGCTAGCGTTCCACTGAACTGTCTAGAATAGTCTGTGTTTATCATTTATACTCCGTTAGCTGAGTAGATTATCTTTAAAGTCAAGGCTTCTCAACATCTATTTCATATTTCATCTCTCACCATCTATATCATCACCCATCTCTACCTAATATATTGATAGGTACAAAAATACATATATAGTTTAGATCAAGTAAAACATGTATAAATCGTTCATCTAGCATAGATATTATGAACACAAATAATAGACACATATAGCATGTAATTATCATAAATACTTCATATCTATGTGTAAGATGAAAGTAACTATGCACCCACTTGTTAAAGTGGTGACTTGAAACTCAGATAGCGCTTCTCTTCTAGCAACTGACTTTTCCTTTGACGTAACCTAGTATCATTATCACTAAATCTTAGTCTAATATTCTATGTGACTCAAAATAGTCTAGACCTGTCAATCATCCCAATGAATACTGTTAACACGCTATCGCGGGCATATTAAGCAAATAATATTTCACTACTGGTTGCACTAATGGATAACACAGGGAAGCAGGGTCAAATCCTCAGGGATACAGCCTAACAGTCAATGTCTTTTTGCATCAGGCATATTCTAGCCAAAAACAAAAAATAATAAAAGGGGGGATTTTTGAATTAATAACTAAACAAAAAGTTACAGTGAAAATAAACTAAGAAAATTCAATAATAAAAACGAATTCAGTTCTGTTGCGACTTTCCTAATCATGCAATCAGCTCCGATTTGGTTAATTCAAAATGTGTTCTATCTAAGCTGGTACTGAGAAAAACTAACAAACTTTTGGGATACTATGATTTATGACTTGCTTCTTGGAAACTATGTTTTGTATAAAATATGGATTTTCAAATGGTTCTAAAATGAAAAATTTTGTCTTGATTTTTGGGATGTTACAACTTTGATTCCTCTCAGGAGGTTGGAAGTTGATGAAGATAGCAAAAGACTCAAAATAGCACTTCTCTAGAAGTATCCACAAAGCAAGAGTAAACCACGTCAAGATGCTAGTCTTCACTTGTATTAAGTTGTTCTCAAGCCATTAAAACTTATACCATATAAGCCTTAAGGAGAACCAACCTGTGAACCTTTGAAACAAGCACCAAATTGCAAGAAGAAGGAAATGAAAGGAGAGGAGAAATCCTCAGAATTTTGGTAGCCAAGAGGGAGGAGAAAACCATCAAAAGAACAACCATTTCAACTAGCTAAGGGCCCTTTATATTCATACCAATATTTACCCAAGTAAATGCTAGTAAATGAAAGGGTGTGGTCTTTCTTATGACATGTAAGAGATTTAAGAAACAACACCACAAGCAAGCCTTTTCCTTCCCTTGAAAGCTACAGTTTCATGGCAAGAAATTCAAGGGTTTGGAGTGTGTTTCACTTAATCTAACTAGCTAGTTACATACCTAATTAAATGGTTACTCCAAGTGTCCACTTGTTTGTGTATGACATTTATATTCATATCTTATGAATATAACTACTTTTTGTTCTCTTATGTTATCATTTCCTAGAATTAATAATTTCTCAATTACTTGTTAAAATATTATTTTCATAAAATAGTAATTCTCCAATTAAATACAAGTGCTGATTAGATTTATTAATAATCAAATTATCTAATAAATAATTAATAAGTATTAACTTGCTATAAGGTATGATTATATATGATCATATGTTATTGACAAATATCATTCTATAATGACTATTGAACATAAAGATCTTTCATATTGAGCTAAATGTTTTGGGCCCAAACATACTATTAGTTATTGGACTAAGATATGACCCCCCCCCCTCCCCCCTAGTTTTTGTTGCCCTACACCTTAGTCATTCAATTTTCATTTCTTCCAACCAAACAAAATATAAAATTGGATTTTAATTTCTTCCTGTCAACCAAACAAACTATAAAATTGGATTTCAATTTTTGACACATTCTAACTCTTTGAGAGATTCCAATCCTTCACAAACATTGTGCGGATCAAACTTCACTTTAAATTTTTTTAAACTTTTAGAAGCTTGTTTTAAAAAGGGTTTTTTCCAAAATAGACCTTATATTTACAGTTTTTTTCTATTTAAACCAAAAACTTTATTTATTTCCTAAAAAGACCACACTTTTTGATGTTCCTTGTTATTTATTATGCATAACCGGTTGACTAGTCAATAGCCGGTATCACGAACGTATCCTTCCTGCGTACCCTTTCTTTTCTTCTACACTCGCTAGGTTTCATTCGTTCGCTTCAAGATACACAAGTCGATATGAAAATCTAGGGCTTTTTCTGAAATCGCACAACAAGAAAGCCATAGCATCCAGTTCTTAGTTCCAGAAATCGCACAAGAAGGCTATGACATCCAGGAATCACTAAAGTAAGTTCTTTTCTCGGTCTCACGCTTTGTTCAACCCGATTTTTGTTTGACTTCTTAGCTTCTAATTGCTTAGATTTCCATGATTATAAATCAATTTAATTAAAAATCTAGATTTGTGCATACTAAAAAAAACTGATTTGTAAAGCGGGTTTCTTCTCCTCCACCTGCGAAGGAATTCCCCATCAACAACGATTTGGATTTGATTTGTAAAGCAGGTTTATAAAACTGAATTGATATATGAAATATAAACCTGAATTGATCATTCTTTGCTTGATTCACCAACTTGTTAGTCCTCGAAGATCTCATCTTCTTCAAGTATCAAGAGCATCAGAAGTAGAAGGATAGTAAGGAATGGTGGAGTTGAATTGTGCAAGTGTAATGAAGAAGCTCCTATGTTTACATCATGGACTGCAAAGAATCCTGGTAGAAGATTTTATGGATGTCCAAATTACAAGGTAAAAATGTTTGTAAACTTTTTTTTGGATGTCCAAATATGTAAATGTTGCTTCTTTTGCAGGATGAAAGTATGAATTGCAAGTATTTCATGTATATTGATGATGAACTTACAATCCAAAGGTACAAGGATCTATTCTTCAATATGCACCATGATATGAAGGGTATGGAAGATGAGATCAAAGAATTAAAGTTAAAGTTGAAGAAAAAAGCGTGTTTGGAATGTGAAGAACGAAGAGTAAAGTATGTTAGGATTGTGGTATTCTTGGTAGTTGTCCTGACATCGGTCATCTTAAGGTTGTGTTACTTTTGATGAATTAAGGTATGTTAGGGTTATGTTTTGTATGACAAAATAGTTGGTTATGTTTTGTATGAGAATATAAGTACTTTTCTATATATGTTATTTTCAGTTTTCAATTTTACCCTTTTAAGGTTTACATTCATTCATAAACTAATATGATATAATTTGATAGATATTTGAAAGTAGAATGTCCTAATAAGAAAAAGACAAAAAGGAATGTAGAAAATAAACAAAGTACACAACATTTCATAAACAGTTTACAAAGGGGAATGTTAATCCAAAGTGGATCAGTTTCTAAATAACATGTGGGTGTGAACTTGGCCATCATTAACACTTACAAAAAGGCCAAATAATAAGTTGCAACAAAAAGACCAAAATGGCCATATTAATGGTACTATACAAAAATACCCCCACCCCCTCTACAAATGTTAAGTGCTATATTAAAGTATAAAGACAAATTTAAGTAAAAAGGAAAATGTAATACTTACCTTGACAAAAGTAAGCACGACTCCATGAGCTCGGGTCATGGGACATTAAGTATTCATATGCACCCACATCTATTGCCTTCAATATCTCCATCACATATATGAATTCAGGTTCTAGCATAATGATCACTACCAGGGTTGGATCTTTGTATTTCTGCAGCATAGTCCCAAATTCTAGCATAATGATCACTAGCCTTCCCTTCAATCATCATCATTGCCTTATGTTTAGCCCTGTTACATTTACTGATAGATAGGGTGGTCTTGAATTTTGTCTTAATGAGTTCCCTCAATTCTTTAAGTTTAATAGATGGGTTGAAAACAATCTCCTTCACAAAGATGAGAAACAATCCACTGAGGGGATACAAGGTGTCCAAAAGTAAACTTTCTTGAACATGAGTGCTTCTTTTTCATTGACTTTACTTGGACTGTTCTTTCTGTGTTCATCCATGATGCATACAAACGAAAATCACATTTTTTTGTCTGTATCTCTACCACATCTAGCTACTAACCTAGTATTTTTCAAGTTTCTCAAACCTTAGGGGGTACCTATGGGCTACAGCGTAGTTAATAAGACAATTTTTCAATTGAGAAAAATTTTATATTTCTCTCCAACCTTTGGTTCCATGAGATTCCACTCTATGGTGGGATCATGGACAGAATTGGAACCACCAATGTCATTCTCGTCATCTTCTAGATGAACTAAATCATCTACATATTCATCTTTTTCACCAAAAAACTCAGATTCATCTTCAAAAAGTTTGGTAAGAAAAGGATCGTTAACAGATTGGAATGAAATAGCTATTACCTTTTCCCTCTCATAGTCCATGGGCATGTCTGATACGAGAATTTCATCTTCGGGATCTTCATAATCAGCGTATTTTTTCTTGTGTTTCTTAGTTTTCTTCTTGGCATCGTTGTTGGATGCCATGGCTTTCTTGTTGTGCGATTTCAGAAAAAGCCCTAGATTTTCATATCGACTTGTGTATCTTGAAGCGAACGAATAAAACCTAGCGAGTGTAGAAGAAAAGAAAGGGTACACAAGAAAAGAAAGGGTACGCAGGAAGGATACGTTCGTGATACCGGCTATTGACTAGTCAACCGGTTATGCATAATAAATAACAAGGAACATCAAAAAAGTGTGGTCTTTTTAGGAAATAAATAAAGTTTTTGGTTTAAATAGAAAAAAACTGTAAATATAAGGTCTATTTTGGAAAAAACCCTTTTAAAAACATACTTTAAATTATTCAAAAACATAAAATACACGATATGGGTTAAAAAGTACTTTGGAAAAAGTGAGAGTGGACCCTCTACAAGGAAAATCTCTTTGTGGATCAAAATATATCAGTAAAGTAAAGTATTCCTGATTGTGTTTATCGTTTGTTTGTTAGATTAATAACTAAACAATTAAAGCGTTTACATATTTGTTTATTTGTACGTAAGGCGGTAAGTGACATTTTTCGCTGTCTTAAACTTATGTTATTTAATTTAATTAAAGTTATATGAAATGATCTATCATATTATCAAATAGTATATACGTGGGCGTTTTAAGGAAGTCGTGCAATATCTATGTAAATAGTCCCTGATTAATTGGCAATGTATAGAAATAGTCATGTTTCATAAAACTATATAAATAGTCACTCCTTAATAGGGAATTTATAGGAAATAGTCTATTGTGTTTCACAAAGTTACAACAATGGTCCCTATCTAATAGAAAGTTTATATAAATTGTGCCTCCATTTCATAGAATAATAGATACGGTCCATATGTTTCACAAAATTACAAAAAGGATCCGTGTTTAATTAAAAAATTACAAAAATAGTCCCCATGTTTCATAAAATTACAGAAATGGTATACAAGGGAATTTATAGAAATGGTCATTGTTTCTCAAATTTATAGAAATAGTCCTGAATTTACACAGAAAATTACAAAATTGTTCCTGTTGACTTGTGAAATAACATAAATAGTCCATGTGGTTGACAAAAAATACAAAAACAGACATGTCTAAAAGTGAATTTAACGGTCTCCTGTTTCACAAAAACTATAGAAATAGACTATGTGTAACAGACTATTACAAAAATAGTTTAAAAAATAAGAGACCAATAAATATGCCGCAAAACATGTGTCATCCCACTAATTAGTATTATATGTCATTTTATAACATGGATTTAAAGTCTTGTTTTATGTGGTCGAGATTGGTTTTTCTAACCAAACACGCTCATAACATTTTTTCCAAAAAAAGAGAAAATATATTGAAAAATGGTTAATAACTTGTAAGGGTAACCAACTTTGTTCATATACACATTAGTCAATAACATTCTTTTTTGTACAAGTCAATAACATTATTTCAGAACATGAGAAAATACGGAAAACTGCAATAAAGTCCCTATATATTGGTCTCATAATCGATTTAGTCCCTACACTTTTTTTATTCAATTAAGTCCCAAATACCGGTAATCGTATTCAATTTAACCCTTTGACCCGGTCAACAGGTCATCCAACTTTCAAAAATTACATTTTTGACCCAGATTTCAAAATTTATTACAAATTTGGTCCAAAATTTACACTTTTGGCCCAGATTTTAAATTTTGTTACAAATTTGGTCCAAACTTTACCCTTTATGCCTAAATTTTAGAATTTTATTATGAATTCATCCTAACTTTAGTTTTTTTTTACAACTTTTTTTCTCAAAAAATTGTTTCTAATATGTTTTTTTCCTTATAAAATCATATTTATACAAAAAAAAACATATTTTCACATAAAAGTCTTATATTTTCTATATAAAAACTTTTTTAAAAAGTTATTTGTATATGAAATATCTAGTTATAAAAATATGTATTTACTAAGTATATAAATATATACAAATCCGTTTTTATAAAATAATGTATACAAAAATGTATTTTAGAAAAAAAAAATGTATACAGACACCTATCACCTATATATATATATATATATATATATATATATATATATATATATATGCATACAAAAAGGTGTGTGTCTATATTTTTTTTATAAAATCGTGTTTGTTTATATTTTTTTTTTATAAAAACGTGTTTGAATAATTTTTTATATAATATGTTTTTGTATACATTTTATAAAATCGTGTTTGTATACATTTTATAAAAACGTGTTTGAATAATTTTTTATTCAAAAACGTTTTTATAAAAAAAATGTAAACAAACACGATTTTATTAAAAAGATATATAGATAAAATAGGTGTTTGTATACATTTTTATATAAAAAATTATTCAAAAACGTTTTTATAAAAAAAATGTAAACAAACACGATTTTATAAAAAAATATATATAGATAAAATAGGTGTTTGTATACATTTTTTTTGTAAAATACGTTTTTGTATACATTTTTATATTAAAACGGATTTGTATATATATTTATATACTTAATAAATACCTATTTTTATAACTAGATATTTCATATATAAAAAAGTTTTTAAAAAAAGTTTTTATATAGAAAATATAAGATTTTTATGTGAAAATACGTTTTTTTTGTATAAATATGACTTTATAAAGAAAAAACATATTAGAAACAATTGTTTGAGAAAAAAAGTTGTCAAAAAAGTAAAGTTAGGATGGATTCATAATAAAATTCTAAAATTTGGACAAAAATGGTAAAGTTTGGACCAAATTTGTAACAAAATTTGAAATCTGGGCCAAAAGTGTAAATTTTGGACCAAATTTGTAATAAAATTTGAAATATGGGCCAAAAATGTAATTTTTGAAAGTTGGATGACATGTTGACCTGGTCAAATGGTTAAATTGAATACGATTACCGGTATTTGAGGCTTAATTGAATAAAAAAAAATATAGGGACTAAATCGATTATTAGGCAAATATATAGGGACTTTATTGTAGTTTTCCCTGATAAAATATAGTGAAAACATTTCAGAGAGACACAGACGTTCCATACGTATAGAAGCTCTAATAGCCACTTATTTATCTTTCTACCTCATGACTTGTTTTGGTTGGCTGGTTGTTTATTTTTTTCCATTCATTTTGTTATATATATATATATATATATATATATATATATATATATAATCTGAAGAAAACTAAAGTTCTTAAAATTTAATTCTCTACAAAATGAGCATAATTATGAAAAACTAAAAAAAAATTATAATTTTATAAGGAAAACCCAAAAAAAGTTCTCCAAAAATTAAAATAATTGAAGGAATACTTCTATTCACTATGATATTAACTATGTAAAAAGAATTTTTAAAAAATAAGTTTTTGAAGTATTTATATTTTAATTTTAAGATATATTTGTTTTTATAAAATATAAAGGATAATTTTTTTATCCAAATGAAAGAGTTATTCGTTATACTATTTTAGTGAGTGTGTAAAAAATAAAATTCAAAAATACTATTGTTAAGGATATGAATGTTTTCTTTAAATGATTCAAATTTTTTATAAAAAAATAAGACGTAAAAATTACCGTTCTTCAAATGAAAATTCTTTTAAAAGCTCATTATATATCATGTATTATGAACTTTTTGAAAATAAATTTTAA